AGGGTTGAAGGTTTAGGGTCAGCCCTGCGTCCTGAACCCTGAATAATGTGAATACCCCACATATGAAGCCCTAAGTGACATGAAGGCTCAAACGCGAAGACCCTGAGCAATTGAAACACCGCCACAAGCGAAACCTCAAGTAATATAGACACCCCTCCCACCCACCCCCAACAAAAACTTACTTCCCTAAGTGACTTACTTGGCCAGCACGGGATGGAGAAATGCATGCCTACGATGTAGTAGAGCCGAAATTATCTCCAAGGATGTAGTGGTTCTCATGTTCCTTTCGAATTCATTCCTGCATTCTGTAAACACCTCAAACCCTGAACCCTTAACCCNNCCCTGACCCCTAAACCCCCTAAACCCTAAACCCTAAACCTTACCCTAAATGCTAGATTAATGGTAGCAACTCGGCCTGGAGCCATGGTGATCCGTCCGCATGTCCTCTTCTTGCCAAGTGCTTTTGAGGTGTTCGTGCGACTTGCCAGATTACGGTTTAGGGTTTAAGAGTTTGAGATCTAGTGTTTGTTTTTTCGGGCTTTGAGGTGTGGGGTTGAGGGTTTACGAATTTTAGGCTGCGGGTTTCAGGCTGTAAAATAGGTTTTTAGTTTAAGGTTTGGATTTCAGGGCTTCGGATTCAATGGGTTAAGGTTTGGAGGGTTCCGAGAAACAGCTTTTCGGGCAGCGCGTGGGAGAAAGTGTTTTCAGCTTTCGAGAGGGTACGTTTGTGCCCATGTTGCGATAGAAGCTAATAGAAGCCCGCCTTGTCTTCTTGGCGATGAGGAGGATGCAACAGATTGGCTCAGTTGCCTGAGTCTTTCGGTGAAAGCATATGAGGGTTGTCAGAATTCCCCAGGCGGGGTGAGAACAGTGTTAAGGTTTACGGTTCAGGGTTTAGGACCAGGCGATCATGGATTACATATCTGGATCCGATTGCTTCAGAGTGTTGTGTTGGTTGAGCAATGTACTTTGCATCTTGGGGGCTTACGTTGCAAGGCCCTGAACCCTAAAACTTCATTAAACTCTATAATTAATCCCCTTAAGTAGATAGAATATGGGGTCTATGGGGATCTCATTACCCTAAACCCTAACCCTAAACCCTAAACCCTTAGACCCTAAACTCTAAACCCTAAACCTTAAACACTAAACCCTAGTCGGCTCCTTTTCCGTCTGTAGTGCTGGCGGCCTTCTCCTCGGCTGGG